CGCCGTCGCCCGAGGTCGCCGTTGGGGCAGTTGGGGCAGCCCCTCGGCGAGACGCGCGTCCCGTCGACGCGGCGCGCCGCGGGCGCCGCGTCGACGACGCGCCCGCGCCCGGCGGGCGGCGCGCGGGCGGCGCGGCCGTCCATCGCCGCGGTCCGGGGCCGGTCGCGGTCGCGGACGCGGCGGACTTGGCGCTAGCAAACGGTCGCGCCCCGAGCTTCGTCGATCGGCGCCCCGAGCTTGTAATCTTTTGGGAGAAACAGCGAGGACGACGCACACCAAACCAGGACTTGTAAGGGTTAGGCTCGCGCACGTGACGCGCGCGCACGTCGTCGAGGAAGCCGCCGAGCCCCGCGTCGGCTCGACACCGATGCCCCCGCACGCAAAAGAGGGGAAACGCCCCCCTTACGCGATGCCCCGGTGCGCCTCGATGGCGCCGAGGAGCCGGTTGATCGCCGTCGCGCCCGAGAGCGGGTACTGGCTCAGGCTCACGTAGTCGACCATGTTCTCGTGGTCGTCCTGGTTGACGTGGCCCGCGGCCATGGCGCCGACGACGAAGCAGACGGGCTTGTCCGGGAGCGTCGCGGCGAAGGCGCCGGGCGTGTAGCGGTCGCCCTGGACGGAGAAGCCGTAGCAGACGCAGTCCGGCGGGAGGTGCCTCTGGATCGGGTTCTTGATGACCTTGAGCAGCGTCTCGCGGCCGTCGGCGGCGCGCACCTTGAGCTTGTGGAGGAGCTGGACCATGAGCCCCGCGAAGCGCTTGTACGTCCGGGGGATGCGCACGGACTCGTGGAACTCGATGAGCACGTTCTGCCGCGTGCGCATGTAGACCTTGAGCTGCTTCGCCTTGTTCAGCGGCGAGTCGAAGAGCGCCATGAGCTCCTGGTGCGCGATGTCCGGCCGGCACTCCGCCGGGTCGCGGCCGTGCTTGCCGAGCACGGACCGGTGGTCGTCGCCGTTGAGCAGCTGGAACTCGCCGCGCTTCGTCTTGACGATCTCGAGGCACGCGAGGTCCAGCAGCACGATGACCGGCGGCGGCGGCGCGTCGCCGCCGAGCGGGGGGTCGTCGAGCGCGGCCATCGTGTCTGATCGCCTAGTTGCAGTGCATCGAGCAGCGTCGTTGAAGCCGCCCGGGGCAGCCCCGCGCGCAGCGGTCGGCGTCGTCCCAGCCCCTCCGCGGCGGGCACGCGGCGGCGGCGCGCGTTCCGGCACGGCGCCGCTCCGGGCCGGCGATGAGCGCGCTCGAGGAGACGGAGAGCTGGATGCTCGACGTCGTCGTGCGCGACAAGTGCATCAAGGTGAGCTGCGGCGCGGCGACGCAGCGCGTCAAGTGGCTCGGGCACGTGGGCATCGCGCGCTACGACGACAAGACCTACCAGGGCTGGAAGCAGCTCGGCGTGCCGACGAAGATCACCAAGGCCGACGGCGTCGAGCTCGACCCCGGCGCGGTCGTCCGCGAGGTGCTCAACGACGGCGACACGGTCTACGTGTCCCACAGCCTCGAGCCCCAGGACGCGGAGCGCCAGGACTAGGCGACCCCGGGTCATAACTCGTAGAGCTCCGACTCGTCGGCGTAGGACGCGACGGCCGAGTCCCGCGCCGGCGCCGATTCGCCGAAGTCGAGCGCGGCGACGGGCGTCGGCGCCGCGGCCGCGGGGCTCCGCGCGACGGCGTCCGCGAGCTCGAGGCCCGCGTCCTTGGAGCCGGGCCCGTCGTCGTCGAAGTGCACCGGGTTGTAGACCGGCGTCCGCGGCGACGCCGCGGCGCCGCGGCGCCCGAGCCGCGCGCGCGGCGCCGCGGCGCCCGCGGCCAGGTTCAGCGCCGCGAGCGCGGCCGCGAGGGCCAGGTTCGGCCGCCGCGGGTCGCCGCCCGACGCGTGGAGCCACCGCTTCAGGCACTCCGACGCGACGGCGGCGGCCAGGCCGCCGACGGACGCGCACGTGCCCGCGACGACGCCGAAGTGCTCCGGCGGGAAGAAGAAGCCCACGGACTCGTAGAGGTGCACGAACCCGAGGAGCCGCGCGGGCACGAAGAGCGCGACGGCGCCGATCTGCAACCGCCAGTCGCGCGCGGCGCTCAACACGCCCCAGATGACCTGGGCGAGCGCCAGCGCGGCGTAGCCGTGGCCGCACGTCCGCTCGAAGCCGCCGTCGTGCCACCGCTCCTCCAGGCGCGCGACGACGACGAGCGACGGCAGCGCGAGGGCCGGGAAGCCCCAGTCCAGTAGCGCCCCGAGGGTCTCGGGCCGGCCGTGCCAGGCCGCCTGCTCGCTGAACGTCGCCACGTAGTAGCCCTGCTGCGTGATGTTCGCGCCGACGGCGAGGCTCGCCGCGAGGACGAAGCAGAGCGCGCGCCGGTCCAGCGCCGCGGCGACGTCGCGCGCGGGCCGCCGCAGGGGCCGCGGCGCCACGGCGCAGCCGCAGGCCGCGATGAGCGCCGCGCAGCACCCGAAGTAGACGCAGTGGAGCCCCGCGACGCCGAGCGACGGCGCGGCGTCGTACCTGGGCAGCACAAGGGTGATTCAACGTCGCTTCAACGTGAGTGTTCCGCGCGCGCGCGTTCCGGAAAAAGCATCCACGCTTCGAGACCGTTCCGAGAGATGATCGCTCGTCCAAAAATCAGCCGAAACGAGTGGAAAACGGCCGAGATATGAGCCTTTGAAGTTGGGAACTTCGCTGTCTTTTGCTGCCTTGCGTCGTACGCGAGCCCGAGCAGC